CTAGATTGGAGAGATTAGATTGGGTTATATTGTATTGTATTTTAGTGCCTTTAAAACGCTCGGTTAAGCTCATTGCCAATCTGTATGCAATTGCACTGTGAGTGGGCAGATTGCACGCAGATTGCAAAGGTAACAGATCTGCCAGACGGAGATCTGTGTGTGTGGTGTCTCAACAGACCGTTCTGCGGATAAACTGTTGGGTGGTGGCAGGCTACCTTTGTGGTGCGTCTGGTGTGGGGGGGTGTGGACAGTGGAAGGGTTATCAACACCGGGGTTCAAGCTAGGATAGCTGAAGGGACCTTTAGAAGGGTGTGTGATTACTAAGCTGGTCCTCAACTCTAATCAGGGCACCAGGTTGTATGTAAGATCGTATCTGCCAGTGTGTGGCCGACCAGCTGGATTGGAGTGGAGTCTCCATCTGGTGGTGGCCAGAGGTAGTGCGGGCTGTGAAAAGGTATCACGGCTGATCTTATATACGGTTTGAGATATTTAAGTGTAAATCCCTTTATTAGCCCCTCTTTACCACCCTGTCGCGGCCGCACGCGTGCGTCACGGTTAGCTAGTCGCTGTAGGCGTGGCGTGTGGTGGACACGTGACAGGGTGATCGTTTAAGTGGATCCTTGACAGGTATGTTTTTGTGATGCTCAAAGCTGAAGTCCAGACCTTCAGTTTTACTTAGTCTGAGTTTACTCCACACTGTGAGCTTCTTCAATGGGCATTATTAGATGCAGCAAGTCAGATAGAAAGTGCTTTTTTTTTACTGGCTAGAGGACGGCCCACATCACCAACTTTTTTCCTCCCTAGCCTAAATGTATATGACCTACACCTGGACAGGGGCAAGGACCTTTTCCCTGTGTTTTGTGAGGCACAGCAAAGCGATACTAGTGTGAACTGAGGGTAAGAAAATAAAGTTGACAATTTCCCCCAAAGTTAATTCAATGTAATTGACATTGTACAGCAAAGTAGATCCTCATTAATCTCATGATGGCCCGCTGCCCGACAATGTTGATTTGTTACATATTGTTTCAGGTGGGCTGGAGATCAGTTAGCACCACATCCCATATAGCAAGTAACCAACGATGTACAGAGAGAAGGGTATTTTTGAGGTGCTCAAAAGATTTCAAACATTTGATATTGTACTAAAATCATAAAAAGCTTTCTTCCATATTGTCATGTAAAAAACTACATCACATTGGTAGTTGGACGAAATTTAAAACCAACAAAATACTCCAAGTTCACAATGCAACAATTCACACTCGACATGTTTCGCCAAATTTCTGGCTTCTTCAAGAGATTTACAGATAGTTACATATAATTGCCACTAGGAGAAATAGGTGTATCTTCACTATGGGAAACCCAGTAAACAAGCATACACTTCTATGTCCTCCTCAGGAGAGTCTAAGATGAACCAAAAGCGGGAAACGGCTGTAACCCGCCAATACCTCCCTACACAAAAAGAATGAAAAGCCCAAAAACTCATAGGTGAGCTCATTCACCTCAAGTGATCCAAAGTTTAGTATTGCCAGCTAATTGCCCCAGGAGACAGAAGAAGGACCACACCAACCAATCATATTATTTATTATAGGTACTTACAGTCATGGCCGAAATTGTTGGCACCCTTGATATTTTTCCTGAAAATCATGTATTTCTCACGAAACGTATTGCATTAACACATGTTTTGCTATACACATGTTTATTCCCTTTGTGTGTATTGGGACAAAACAAAAAAAGGGAGGAAAGAAAGCAAATTCGACATAATGTCACACAAACCTCCAAAAATGGGCTGGACAAAAGTATTGGCACCCTTTCACAACTGCGGATAAATAAGAATGTTACAAGCATGTGATGCTCCTGTAAACTCACCTGGGGCAAGTAACAGGTGTGGGCAATATAGAAATCACACCTGAAAGCAGATAAAAAGGAGAGACGTTCACTTAACCTTTGCATTGTGTGTCTGTCTGTGCCACACTAAGCATGGACAACAGAAAGAGGAGACGAGAACTGTCTGAGGACCTGAGAACCAAAATTGTGGCAAAATATCAACAATCTCAAGGTTACAAGTCCATCTCCAGAGAACTAGATTTGCCTTTGTCCACAGTGCGCAACATTATCAAGAAGTTTGCAACCCATGGCACTGTAGCTAATCTCCCTGGTCGTGGACGGATGAGGAAAATTGATGAAAGATTGCAACGCAGAATAGTCCGGATGGTGGATAAGCAGCCCCAAACATGTTCCAAAGACATTCAAGCTGTCCTGCAGGCTCAGGGAGCATCAGTGTCAGCGCGAACTATCCGTCGACATTTAAATGAAATGAAACGCTATGGCAGGAGACCCAGGAGGACCCCACTGCTGACACAGAGACATAAAAAAGCAAGACTACAGTTTGCCAAAATGTACTTGAGTAAGCCAAAAGCCTTCTGGGAAAACGTCTTGTGGACAGATGAGACCAAGATAGAGCTTTTCGGTAAAGCACATCATTCTACTGTTTACCGAAAACGGAATGAGGCCTACAAAGAACAAAACACAGTACCTACGGTAAAATATGGTGGAGGTTCAATGATGTTTTGGGGTTGTTTTGCTGCCTCTGGCACTGGGTGCCTTGACTGTGTGCAAGGCATCATGAAATCTGAGGATTACCAAAGGATTTTGGGTCGCACTGTAGGGCCCAGTGTCAGAAAGCTGGGTTTGCGTCCAAGATCCTGGGTCTTCCAGCAGGACAATGACCCCAAACATACGTCAAAAAGCACTCAGAAATGGATGGCAAAGAAGCGCTGGAGAGTTCTGAAGTGGCCAGCAATGAGCCCAGATCTAAATCCCATTGAACACCTGTGGAGAGATCTTAAAATTGCTGTTGGGAAAAGGTGTCCTTCCAATAAGAGAGACCTGGAGCTGTTTGCAAAGGAAGAGTGGTCCAAAATTCCGGGTGAGAGGTGTCAGAAGCTTATTGATGGTTATAGGAAGCGACTGATTTCAGTTATGTTTTCCAAAGGGTGTGCAACCAAATATTAAGTTAAGGGTGCCAATACTTTTGTCCAGCCCATTTTTGGGGTTTTGTGTGACATTATGTCATATTTGCTTTTCTGCCTCTGTTTTATATTTTGTTCCAATACATACAAAGGGAATAAACATGTGTATAGCAAAACATGTGTTAATGCAATACCTTTTTTGTGTGAAATACTTGATTTTCAGGAAAAATATCAAGGGTGCCAACAATTTCGGCCATGACTGTATGTAGTGCTGTCAATTTATGCAGCACTTTACATATATATTGTACATACACATCAGTCCCTAACCCTCAAGGGGCATACAATCTAAGGTCCCTAACTCACATTCATACATACTAGGACCAACTTAGACAGGAGCCAATTAACCTACCAGCATGTCTTTGGAGTGTGGGAGGAAACCACAGGGAGAACATGCAAACTCCAGGCAGGTTGTGCCATGGTTGGGATTTGAACCAATGACGTTAGTGCTGCTAGGTGGCAGTGCTAACCATTTAGCCACTGTGGTAGACCCATCCACTGGAGAGGTCACAGAAGGTCACTACTACACTACTGCTGCAAAATATCAGATACTCCAGTTTTTTAGTATAAAACCACCTACTAAGCTTTTAGCAAACTCCCATTCATTTGGAATACTTCGGGAATTCATTTTCAAACAATTAAACAAATAAGGATTGTTGGTGACCACAAAACACCGCTAGCGACATATCAGTGCCACTTTTTAATCGTGGACGTGTGTACTTTATTTTTCCAATCCAAACATGAGCAGTTGGCAGATTTCTAAAACACACATTTTCTGCAGAGCCCCACTCCAATGAATACGTAACCTTAGAACAACTCAGTAGGAAGGTTTTGTCTTCGGTGTCAGTTTAAATACAAGGTTTTTGTATCCAATGAATACAAATTCATACACTAAGGCGTGCTGTCATATATTGACTGACATGACAACAAAACAAGTTAAAGTATTGTATGGTCTGAATCTTTTCTGTGCAAAGTTGTTTTTTTTTAAACACTGGGCACAAGAGATGTCTGTTCTGACAATGTGGGATTTATGGCCTACCATATGGACATGAACTAAAAACAACTTCATCTTTCACCTACTTTTCTCTGTTAGAATGGAACCAAAATCGCACATCACATGAAAAAGGAGATAATGGCTGAAAACACTGTTATGGGCCAAAACATTTCTCACTGAATATGATAACAGTGGCTTTTTATTCACGCATACATTTTTATGTAAACTTTCATAAGGCATAAATACAATATCCGCAAACAAGGCAAAACAACGTAAATTCACACTTAGGAACAATCCAAGGTAACAATAAGCCTGATAGGGGCTCAGGAAACTTTTGAAAGATTCAGGTTGGGGAAGCACCTACAGTATGTGATGCATTCAAATACATTTTACCTAGTGTTACCACTATGCACAACCTGTAGGTCACTGTGGTGCAATTCATTTTGAAGAGCACTCCTCAACACATATGAAAACCATCTGTGTGCTGTGCATCCAAAATGAAATTCTGATTTTTGTGCATTGGCAGACCATTTAAAAAAGAATGCATCTTAACAAGTGTGTGCTAACGCACTGCAGTTCACCAGACCGGAGTGAAGGAAGCCTCAAGTCCATAACCACAGAATGGAGACCATAGGTAAAATCACATAACCCATTCCTTAGCAAATCTGAAACAGCCGTTTAGCCCGGTAGGAAGTATTGTTTAATATTATCAGCCAGTTCAGGCTGGGTAGAGGCTATAAAAATGACGCACTGCAGTGTCTTTCATTATGCAACACAAATTTTGCTTAGTACAGGAAACTACCCCTGTGCATGAGTTCAATCTCTTTAACCAGTTCCCAACCGCGCTATAGCCTAAGGACGGCTACTGCATGGTTGTGTAATCCTGGGATGACGTCTATGGACGTCATTCCAGGACACGCCCCCCTGCGCGCCCCCAGCGGCGTGTACCTGGCCCCGCTGGTGATCGCTGTGTCCTATGGACACAGCTGATTACAGGGTATGGTAATTGGCCAATCACGGCACCCTTTTACCACGTGATCAGCTGTGTCCAATGACACAGCAATCACTGGGTAAATATAGTTGCCAGTTATCGACAGCACTTTCCTCACGCTTTCACAGCGTGAGCAAAGTACTTCCGAGAACCAGCAATTGTCAGCGAAGGGATCGGCACTGATCATCAGGGAACTGATGATTAGTGCTATGATGATCCATCCCCAGCAGTGCCACCCACCTGTGCCACTCAGGAGTGCCGCCCACCTGTGTCCAGCAGTGCCACCTACCTGTGCCACTCAGGAGTGCCACCCACCTGTGCCCAGCAGTTCCACCCATCAGTGCTGCCCATTAGTGCCACCTATCAGTGCAGCTCATCAGTGCCGCCTATCAGTGCCTCCTATCAGTGCCCATCAGTACTGCCTATTCATGCCACCTCATCAGTGCCCATCAGTGCTGCCTATCCATGCCCATCAGTGCTGCCTATAAATGCCCATCAGTGTTGCCTATCAGTGCAGCCTCATCAATGCACATCAGTGAAGGAGAAAAAATACCTGTTTGCAAAATATTATAATAGAGACAAATAAAAACTTTTTTGAAAAACTTTTTTTGCTCTTTTTTTGTTTATAGCGCAAAAAAGAAAACACACAGTGGCAATTAAATGCCACCAAAAGAAAGCTCTATTTGTGTAAAAAAATTATGCAAATTTTATATGGGTACAATGTTGCATGACCGCGCAATTGTCATTCAAAGTGCAACAGTGCTGTAAGCTGAAAATTGGCCTGGGCAGGAAGAGGGTATAAGTGCCCGGTAGACAAGTGGTTAAAGTTTACGCGTATCTGAATTACAATGGCCACACACATTATAACCTGATATTGCAATTTCTTTTAAATGATGAGACAACTATGTAGTACATACGTACCAACTTTATGATCTTGGATATTGTTACACCGTTAATAACACATATGGTTCACAATTTATTTGCCCACTTTCCAGGTGGGGGGACAAAACCATGTCCACTTTACTGGTTGGTCTTGCCCAGTCCAGTCTGCAGTTTAGTCCCATCCAGATCCTGCCTAAAGTATACAGGGACTGCCATTTTATGGGTTATGGGTTGGCTTCTTGCATTGTAAGTCAATGAGGACAGACTTGGGACAGACTCATTCTAACATTGTTTAAAAAAACTTTGCAGTCAGCCAGGACATCTTCTGAGAAACATCCAAAAGGTAAGAAATATTCTTCCAAACCTATTTTAAGCATGGTTTATGAATGGAAGTACAAAACAAACATATAGCGGGGTTTTCACAAATTTCACTGCAAAAGTGGAAATATTCTTTAACCAGTTCCCGCCCAGTCTATATGAGAATAATGGTCGAGCGGGACTCTCGTCAATCCGGGTGGGTGTCATATGACCTCCTCCTGGATCGCCACCCTACTCGTGCCCATGCGGCCGCGCTGCGACAAGATCTGTCGGTGGCTGTTTACATAAGACACATCTCCTAGATTGTAAGCTCGAAAGAGCAGGGCCCTCGATCTCCTCACGTTTTGCATTGTATTGGTATTGTTCTGTCACATGTTCTGTCCCCCTTTGTAATGTACAGCACTGAGCGAACTATTGGCGCTTTATAAATACTGTATAATAATAATAATATACATATATATATAAATATATATATATATATATATATATATATATATATATACACACACACACAGTGGGGAAAATAATTATTTGATCCCCTGCAGATTTTGCAAGTTTGCCCACTTACAAAGAAATGAAGGGTCTATAATTTTTTATCATAGGTGGAACTTTTGGGTGGAACTCTGCTTTAAGCTGCTTTACAGAGCAGAATAGAAAAGAACAGTATAGAACAGAATAGAATAGAAAAAGCATAGAATAAAATGGAAAATAAAGGAATAAAATAAAAAATAATAGAATAGGACAGAACAAAACAGAATAGACTATAAAGGAAACAACAGGAAAAGAAAGGAATAGAAGAGAACAGAATAGAAAATAAAAGAATGGAATAGAATATAAACAAATAAAATAGAACAGAATAGAACAAATAAAGCCACCTTCTGAAATTCAAATTTTGAAATTCAATTTTCAAATAGATTTGAAAATAACAAATATAGGAAATGAAATTGAATATACAAAATAAATTCTGAAAATAAATCTTTCTGACATAATGAATATAAGTAAATTAAATTATTAGCCTAACAAATGAATCCAAAACTAAATGAATTTTGCACATCTCTACTCTCCACTCTATCCAAAACAAAAAAAAAATAGCTTCTAGTTATACTTTAAGTCGGCCTATAAAAAATAGCTTTGTGATGAACATAATGCCAGTATTTGCAAATGTCAGCTATTCATCAAGATAGTGTTTTGGTACCCCCTCCCTCCATATCCCACAATGCAGTGACTTGTTGTGAGGCACTTGGATTGAAAATGATCTAACAATAGGTTTGCTTTCAGCAGATGGCAATGTAAAGATGGAGCAGTGTGAGATGAGCATGGGATCGGTGAAGCACAACCATCCCCTAGTCATTGGCAGAGTGAACTCTAGTAAACTCTGAAAGGATGAAGAACTAGGTGAAAGGTGATTTCACTCCAGCAGCTGGGATTTTAGCCATAACATCCAGACTGCACACTTCATTATTTAACTATCAGCTATGCAGAAACAAAGACATGGTCAATTCGTATCACATTCAGTTTGAGCAGCACAGTCGCTAAATGGATAGCACTTCCACCTGGCAGTACTAGGGTCGTTGCTTCAAATCCCAACCACATCACCACCTGCCTGTAGTTTGCATGTTCTCCCTGTGCCTGTGTGGGTTTCCTCCCACACTCCAAAAACTTGCTGCTAGGTTAACTGGCTCCTGTCTAAGTTGGCCCTAGTATGTGTATGAATGTAAGTTAGGGACCTTAGATTGTACACTCCTTGAGGGTTAGGGACTGATGTGAAAATACAATATATATTTGTAAAGCACTGCATAAATTGATGGTGCTATATAAGTTCCTGAAATAAAAATATATTTGTCTATAAACACATATAGGGCTCGTTTATACAGGTATATGCAAATTGTCTGCATGGAATGCAGATTCTTGCTCACAGAGCTAGCAGAAGATCCTGTGTAAAGTACTTGCATTTAGGGCTCATGTACACGGGGTGCTTGGAAAACTCTTCTGAACGATGGAAACTGCCTGCTGGAAAACGTAGGTTAAAAAACGGCAGTTTAGTCGCGTTTGCATACCACATTTATGTGCGTTTGCGTTTAGAAGCGTTTTTAAAAAATAACCTCAGGAGACCTTCCCAAATGCCCAGAATGCACTGAAAAATAGTAAATAATGAACTATTTCAGACATTTTGAGAGGAATAGAGAGAGCAGAAGCAGAGAGAGCAGCATGTGTTGAGATGACCTGTCTTTTCTGGTTGTATTCACTATGGATCCCATCATGAGTATAATACAGCACGTTCTACCATGTTTTCCTTCACGCGAAACCTATAACTGACTGCGCTGGTGTACTAGGTCCATTTGAATACATGGAAAACGCTTTGCATGCATTTCTGATGATGAAAAAAGGCTCTGGATAGCATCTGGATATGGAACGGTTAAAAAACGCTTCTAAACGCAAACGCTTATAAACACGGTTAACCGTGTTTACAAGCATTTACACGCGTTTACAAGCGTTTGGCATATGAAATGCCATTAAAATCTACTCCTGAACGCAAGTTTGGAGCATTCAAAAAAACGACTGTAAACTCAGCTGCCTGTAAACGACTGTACACTACATAGTGTACATGGACACATAGGAAAACATTAGGGAGAGTTCAGGGGCTGCTGAAAAAAACGCTCAACTGCTCCTGAACGTGAAGGCAGCAGCCAAATGCAAATACATAGGCTCATTGATTATTATAGCATTTAGATGCGTGCGTTATTTTAACTGACAATTGCGCGGTCATGCAACGCTGTACATAAATTCAATTTATGTCCTTTTTTACCCAAAAAATAGAGCTTTTTTTGCTGGTATTTGATCACCGCTGCATTTTTATTTTTTGTGTTAACAAAAAAATGACGGACAATTTTGAAAAAACAATATTTTTAACTTTTTACTAAAAAACATATAAAGTAAAAAATTTTAAAAATCTAATTTCTTAATAAATTTTGGCCAAAATGTATTCTGCTACAAAATCCCAATACATGTAAATTAATTGGTTTACATGAAAGTTATAGTGTCTATAAAAGGCAGAATATATACTGGAATTTTCTTTTTTTATACTAGTAATGCGACAATCAGCGCCTTTTAGCAGGACTGGAATTCTGACACTGGGTGGGAAATGACTAACTGCCACTGACATCACAGTGACACTAATACAGTGATCAGTGCTAATAAAAAGCACTGACACTATACTAATGACAATGGGCAGGAAGTGGTTAACATCTGGGGCAATCAACCGGTTAACTGTGTGCTGTTTTACATAATGTGCTCTGTGTGTTTTACTAGGGAGACATGCTGCTGTGTATTTCTCTTCTGTGCAGAGAAATACACGACAGCATGTCCTTGCTGGCAGGAGAGAGACTTGTGTTGTTTACACACAGGTCTCTCCCCTGTTAGCTTTGCCCAACAATCGCCAGGTGCCAGCGGGGATTCTCCGACCAGGACCCAGTGACTGACATCACTAGCCACCAATGGCAGCACGGATAGGGCGGCACGTGCCCCCTACCCGGAAATGTAAATCACGTATATATACACGTTATTTTGTGCAGCCATGCCACCCTGTAGCAGTAGTTCTACTATAGGGCGATGGGAAAGCAGTTAAATTCGGAATATAAGTGAGCAACATGTGTTTTTTGTCTCCTCTTTAAATACAGATTAATCACACTTTGTTTATGCTATCTTTGTTCAGTTCTGTGTTTGTTCTGACATTCACTTTCTCTGTTTAGAATCCTATATCTTAGTAATGGTAAATCTCAAATACAAATTGATGCGCTTTTTCATCTGGCCTGCGCTGCCACTATAAAGAAAGTAATTATCTTTATAATGAGATCCATTTCTGTTTGACACATTAAACTTGGAATGCAAGTGAGCAACATGTGTTTTCTGTCTTCTCTTTAAATACAGGCTGCATCTTTGTCATACCTCTCACTCAAATCACCAATCATCCTGTAGCACAGCCACTTCTATGGGATACATGCTTACAGCTCTGAGGTGCATCTGCCAGTGACCCTGCGCAGAGGACGGACTTAATCGCCTATCTGAATGAGCCCATGTACTGTCGTGCTTGTTTTTAATTACTTGTTTACTATGTTACATTTAATAAAGAATGATCCTGCTGCCCCTGAATGCCTGTTTATTTATTTATTTTGGGGTTTTTTTCTTTGACAAGCAGTGATTTTTAATGAAAGCAATGTGCTGTGACCATGAGCCAAAAGTCTGGCTCATGGTCAAGGTACAACTCTATTAATTTGAGTGGGCGAATTGTACAGATGGTGCAT